CAGCGCCGGGCGGCGCGCGGGCCGCGGCCGTTGACGCCAGTTGCTACGCAACGGGTAACGGCTCCGGGCTGTACCACTCCTATCGCGGGGGCGGCGAGGGGGGGTTGGATTATGCAGTTTTCTTTAGGGACTTTTTCTTCTTATTTTACATTGAAACGGGCTTTGAAAGTTTTCTTACACTGTAGAAAAAAAATTCTTTTTTTCCCTACTTCCTATATATTCTTAATCTTAAATATTAAAAAAAAAATCTCTTGAAACATAAACTTTTTTTCTCAGTTGGCCACTCATCACTGATATGGTGTTTTTTTTTGTTTTGGGGTTTTTTTTTGTGCGTGTGTGTGATTTTTTTTTTTTTATCATTTACTTGTATATGTGTAGGGAACAGAAGAAAGATGGTGGAAAATCCAAAGAAAGATCCAACACCAAAGAAATTTGCACTTATTTTCTGCAGCTGCTTCTGCCATGAGTGCATTGTGTTCAGGAGCATGTGTTGGGCTTTGCTGCTTATTTTGCCTAAGGTTTTAAATACACTTTACATAGAAAAACAGAAATCTTTCTCTCTTTCTCTCTTTCTCTCTTTCTCTCTTTCTCTCTTTCTCTCTTTCTCTCTTTCTCTCTTTCTCTCTTTCTCTCTCTCTCTCTCTCTTTCTCTTTCTCTCTCTCTCTCTCTTTCTCTCTTTTCCTCTTCCTCTTCCTCTTCCTCTTCCTCATAAAATTGTTGACTTTCAGCACTCATATAGGGGTAAAGAGTGTTTCTGCACAGCCTGTTTTGACACCAAACATAGAATTGAGCCTATTTACCATATCCTATATAGATCATGTCCTGAAGTTTCATAGATCCATAGATAAGCAAGTCCTATATTCACATCTCCAAGAAAAAGGCTACAGGAACATGTTAGTGAATGGGACAAAATGGAGCAAACAGTAAATTAAGATATTTCTCCTTCCACAGAAACCCAATTCATGGATGTCCCTGTCTATTTGCACAGCCATCACTGAGTGCAAGCTGGAATCCCCCTCTGCTTCCATGCCGGAGGAGCTGGATATGATCCATCTCTGGAAAAACACTCCATAATGTTTCTATATGGCAGCAAATCACTGAAAAAGGTGAGAAGTGGGGATTATCCATCAGTAAATCTGCAGATTTCCTTGACATTAGTAATATAAATCAAGATGGTGAAGGAGGATTTAAATAGGTTATTCTCACTTCCACTTTATATCCATACTCTAAATATCAGATGAAAAATGTGTGGCTAGGTTGTAAAACAAGCAGTAGAAGGATTTCAAGCAATTTACTTATTTAGTGAAGACCAGGAAAAAATGGACAATTAGACTGAACCACTAATGGAATTTTTAAGTATTAACAAATAAATATTTAACATCAAAGTTGACACTTGATAAGTAAATAATCGTACAAGCAGACTAATATAACTCAAAGCAATTTCTTTCATTTGCTCCTAAAGTTACAGCTGAGTCTTCCATGAATGAATTCCAATGTTCTGTTTGTGTTTCAGATTAGAAAATTGACAGAAATTCCAGATGTGACACATAAAATGGATATACTGAGTAGGAATTAGGGCAGGTGCACATAGCAAAATGCAACACTACTGTGCTTAACCAAGCAAACTCCATGTTCTGTGAATTCTTGYTTATAATTCTCTTTAGTCTGCTGCTGCTGATGCCTTTCCCAATCCACTGTGTCTGTCCCCATCAGCCACATCTGGCATGTTGTGATCCAAACTATGGTTTTAAGAGGAGAGAATTCTCCGCGTCTTATTTTGCATCCAGCATCTTTCAAAGTTTCACACTACATAGGAATGTAATGCAAAGGTCACTAAGTGTCAGGTTTTTCATTCCTGCTGTTGGTGTTTAAACCCAACATCCTCTCTCCAAAGCTCCCGGGCAACCTATTTCAGAAGATGCCCCACACTAGGAAGTGCATTAAGAGCAAAGAGAGCTYCCTAGAGCCCACAAATGTGAGCAGGAGTGGTTGCCTTCTGGGGGAGTTGTTACAGTATAAATGGAATAATAAAATATGCTGTGAGCCCAAGGCAAAGAGAGAATGACTTAGCACCCCAGGGCAAGGATGAAAGGTTGCCAGTGTGGTTTCTTCTGACTCCTGTAATCACATCGTTTGGCTGCCTCTCAGACCCCCTTTTAACAGTTGCTTTGACCAATGTCAGCCAAACTTTGGTAAAGCAGAAATCTTAAAGGAATGGAAGGTCCTGCAAGTCTGGTGTGGAAGGGGCGAGGAAGACAGAAACATGGGCCTTGCTGAGGGAAACTCGCTGCATGAGCTTGCTCATGTCATGCTCGGCTTGGCCTTGGGCCCAACGCTGCTCTGGGGACACCGTGAGAAATGAAGATGCTGTCTAAGGGAAAGGCTATTGCACCTCAGTGATCCCAGGGGACACCGAGCTGGAGGTCCTGGGGTGGGAGCAGACGTGCGGGAGAGGACAACACTCTAGGCAACTGGGATTGCCTCTCACGCCACTCGCTGAATGACTTGCTGAATCCAGCGAGTGATTTTCCATGCACAAACAACAAGCCAGATAGATGTTTGCCCCCGTGGTCATTGCCTTTCCTGAGCAGACCCTGAGTCTCAAGGGCGCTCGTCTCAGCACAGATGCTGTCCCAAGTCTGGGCTGAGGACAAATTGCAGAAGATGGTAAAAGATGCTTGAAGGCATTTTACCCTGTCTGGGGGTGGCAGCACTCTGGGGATGGGCACTAGCACCTGGGCAGACCTCAGCTCTCTCCTGGAGCTGCGTTCAGTACTGCTGCAAGCTCCTGATACTGCAAGTAGACTGGGCAACCAGGGGCTTGCAGACCCGCTGGGGCAGCCGGGATCCCACAGTCCCTGTKTGAGAGCTCTGCCCTAACTGCAAAACTGGCAGCAATGCAGAGTGCCGAGCTGCCAGGGCTCAGCGCTGCCCATGGGGAAGCCCCAGGGCTCCCATCTCCATCCTGCAATAAACTACCGCGACGGCACCTTGCAACCAGACCAGACTGGAGASCCTGGAGCCCAGGTAGCTCCTCCAGGCTTCTCCGGTGGATGGGATGAGCRGAGCCTCTCGCTGCCTCCTCTCCCACGTCTTCCCCCAGCTCTGGTGTGGCCAGGGTGGCCGGTGACGGTGGCCGCTTCGCGTGGGCATGCGGGGATGGCCGCATGTGCAGAGCTGCGGGCATCCACACTGGAGCCCCATGCCGTCCCTTCCCGTGGGAGCGGCGATGATGGTGATGGGGAGCAGGGAGCAGCTGGCAGCGGGAACACGCTCCGCAGAGGAGCTGCTGTTCCCGGGACAGGAGGCTCCGCAGAGGGGGAGGAGAGCATGGGGGCGGAGAGCAGGGCAGGGGGGTCCTGTCACCGCTGATGCTCCCCGGGGCTCTGCAGCTGCACAGAAACATTGGCTCAGGTCAGAGCTTGCGAGGCGGGAGCGCTGGGAGGGACGGAGGAGCGAGCGGAGGGGCAGCCCGCGGGATGAGGGAGCCGCGCTCTGGGACACCATGCGGGTCATCTGGGTGATCATCTGCTGCATCCCAGCCCTCCTGGTAGGTGTTTGTTCCCACCTGCATGCAATCGCATGTTGCCTCAACAAGCACACCTGCTTATTGAAGCACTGTGTCTTTCCAAAAGTCTGTGTATAAGGGGGSAGTCTTTTATTTTATTCATGCTTCTGCTGCTTCCTGCACTGCTTGGCAGGTGCAAGGTGCGTGATGCCTCAGTTTCCCCATCTATCTAAAGAGGGCAGCATCACTCACCCACCTTTATGGGACTCGATGCTGTGTGGAGATTTACAGCAGCAAGGTATCCCGCAAGGGGAATTGGCTCGTGCTGCTAATGCCTCCCTTGGCAGCCTGGGCTGCGGTCACGAGGCGCTAGTCAGTTTGCTTAGGTGTTGAAAAGTGTGTTTAAATTAAAGCTATCAAGAAATACACCCAACCTGAAAGTGAGAATTCAGGAAAGGGTCAAACTCTCCACCTGTGTAAAGAGTCCATTGCAACTAACAGGAAAAATAATTGTTTTGTTCTAGCAGGAATTTGGCCCCATCTGAGAAAAATTGAACTCTACCTAGGCATTGTTTGCCCCATGAATGCATTTTATGAATTTTTTTTTTTCTTTTTTGCCTTTTCTTCATCTTTCACAATGAAAAAGTGCACTGGCTTTGCTGTCATTTTGCTTTCTTGTCCTTGTCTTTTCCCGGGGCAGCACACAGGGTGCCGGTGATCACAGCAAGCGAGAAAGACACTGTGACTAAACAGAAGAGACTAGATAGATAAGGCATGATAAACTGCTCAAAAGATGAAACTTTGTTCAGAAATGTAAGCCCCAGCAYGCTTGCAGCTGCAGTGAGCGGTGTCTTAATCTCTGACGTCTGCTCAGCTAAAATCTCATTCATCCTTTACTGGGAGCTATCATAGTAAAGGTAATAGTCTAAAAATCCTCACTGCAAGCTTTTCAGCGGCTACTCTCACCAAAACCTAGTCTGAAAGTGATCAGCAATTTCAGAAGTTTTATTAGAATGAGCATTAATATGATTCTGTCAGGTTAACTGCTCCTAAAACTAATATATTAAAAAAAATCCATCTGACATTTTTCATATGATACACTCTAATTACTTGCTTTTAGTCTTTGGTGTGTGTGTGTATGTCTATAGGTTCATATATATTCCTTGGTGGGAGTTTATAAAGATTTTTGTTGTTGTTAATGAGGGAGAAATTATCTAATTTGTTATAATGGAAACCCGGTGGTATCCACTCCTCATGGTGTCTCATTATGGAAACCAGCAAAATAGTGAAAGCACTTTTCCCTGTATATTGCTTGTAACTTGAAATATCCCAGGCACTTAAGGAATGTGTCATCAGTAAAACCACAGCAAGACTTAAATGCTGGGACTCTGTCCTACMAAACATTTTGCAGAGATATTTAATGCATGCAATTTTAATGATCATTAGCTGTTTTGTACTTTTATTTTGATCCAGCTGCACATAAAATAAACTGCGTATTTAATTGCTACATCMGGATTAGCATTTCTCCCCTGCCTTTTGAAGAAGGAGGATGGAGAAAGACACGAAGGTGAGTAAATATACTTAGGATGAACCCTATCATTGATTTCCTTGCAAAAATCTTAGTGAGTTTCTGCATTCATGCTGGCTCCTGCAGCTTCCTAATCCGTTGCAGTAAGTCAGACTTGGGTGATCTGCAATCAGAGGAGATATTTGGGCCATTTTGCATGTTACCTTGGAAAATTTTATGGTTTAAAAGTGCCAAAAGTAAATAAATCATTGGCAATTGCCCTAGGGGATCCCAGCAAAGCCCTGGATGCTGTTGCAGTTTTTCATCTTGCTCATGTGCTATATTGAACAAGCCGACTGACCTGTTTATCTCAATTTAATACCAGCAAATGGGAGGAGGCAGTAACTCAGTCTGTGCATGGACAATGWGAGCCTAAGAAAGGCAAATCCCGTGGAGGTGACCTAAGTTGTAAGAGGAGAAGTGATTCCACTGCTTTTAAAATTTGCAGATCAGAGCCGTCCCACCTGTCTGCGACCTCCTGAGCGTCCTGAAAAAGGAGGAAGAAAATTGTGCTGAGATTCTCTACCTAGAGGCAAAGAACAGGACGCCTGAAAGCAATCTGCTGTTGGGTGCAGGTAAAGGGCGAACGGACTCGCGAGTTAAAAACTGCTTTTAGGTGAAGTAGGTGGCTGCAAAATCCGATTCTCCTGTGTTTTGTCCCATGGGAGGCATCCAGTGTGCACGCATATCTCATCTAGAAGCAGGAAATCACATAAGATCTGCTATAAGTCTCCTAAAGCAGGATCTAGACCTTACTGTGACATTAAATCATAGTTGTATGTATCTTTGAACTATGCATCTTCTAATGCAGCTGCTTGGCTTGTCACCACTGGAGAGCAGATGAGAGCAACAGCAGTTTAGTAAATCTTGTGGACTGCAGGGGTTTTGGAATTCTTGTCATCTTTGACAAAAATGCTAGAAAGTGAGCCCACTAAGTTCAGGTTTACTCAACAAATTTGCCTTCTAAATGAAATCAATGAATACTTATGGCCAACATGAAAATTGCACAGCCAAAAGATCCCCACTGCTTCCTTCTCGCTTTAACTCACATTCTTGTAACAGAAGTCTCTCATTTCTGAGATTTATGACCCTATTAAGGATTTTTGCTTTGGGGAGGTTTTGTCATGCCAACTCCTCAGCATGTGGAGAGCTTCCCTTTTGCAGCTGAGTGAATGTGTTTGCTTACAAGGGGTCCTAGAGAAAGAGCTGGAAGCAAATCGTGAAGCTTGCCCGTGAGCTGAGTGCTAGCCCTGTAGGCAGTGGCCGAGCCAGCATTGCACAGAGTTTGCAGCATGGAGGCAGCAGGTGCAATGGTTTTTGTGCATGACCAGCCACTGCCACTGCTTTGTGCCATCATCCCGCACGTCCTGGAAGGGCAAGAGCTCCCGTGAGAGGTGCTGAGCGCAGGGTGTCCCCACAGAGACCAGCCACCGCAGGGAGYGACGTGCGGCTTTGCTCGCTCCCATAGTCTTCCTCTCCAGCTGACAGTGGGGAAACACAGGCGTGTTTCAGTACCTGGCCCAAGGCAGGACTCAGAGTGAAGATTTATTGCCTGGTTTCTTACCGTGCTGGATGTTTTTCCCTACCTGTGTTTTATCCCTGTGAGCCTCACAGCCCGGATGGGTTGCCACTGCTGGTTGCTAGATATTGCAGAATACAGATCTGCCTCCTTGTATATGAGCAGTCTAATTATAGGAATAAATCAGTCCTGGTGCCCTTCACCGAGGAGGACAGTGGTTTTGGGCAGTGATGCAGTTTGACAACCCAGCCCTTTTTCCGCTCTGATCCCATGGCACAGCTGTGACACTGAACTCTGCCTTTCCCTTGCGCCAGGGCGCTGAAGATACGTCCAAGCTAAGCCTCACCGGTGGGGACAAACACTGGGATTTGCAGGCAGTGCCATTTTATAGAGGGTCTCGTTTGATTTCAGTCAAATAGCAGCCGCTYGGCAGGAATTTAATCTGGTTTAACTTGGATCCAAATCGTAAAAATTCTGCTGAGGCCTTTTGTTATTAGGATGTTTGACAAAGTTTGACCCTAACATCCGTGCTTCTTCCCCTAGATCTATGGAAAAGGCATTAAAAACACAATTACAAGTAAAGGTCTTTACTTGACAGGCATTTCCAGCTAATATCAGCTCTCTTTCAGCTGCTCTTTTAGCTCTTTATGTTGKTGTCATAATTTTGCCAAGGTTTTCTGTGCATCGAGTCTGATTTGGGGGCTTCATGCCAGGGCTGTTGGCATGAAAGTTTGATAACCTAAACACTACAGCATGTCTAAGTATAAATATCACCCAAGGGGAGGTTTTGTTTGTAGATGAACTATATTGCTTTGAAATAAATGGTTACCAAGTCAGCAAAACAGAGGCACAGGGAGGGCACCAGCACTGAGCCACATTGGCTGTGAAAAGCTCCTCATTTCCAGGCCCTATTACCATAGTATAGGAAGGAATTGATTTTTGGAAATGCAAATATTTTAGTCAGGCTGGTGGAGCCTGGTCTTGTGAAGTCTAATGCACATGAAGAGGGTACTCAGCACATCCTTCCCTGGCTTTCAATGAGGGTCCAGGACATTCAACATATGCCAAGATCTGGCAGGGTTAAGGGTGGTCCTGGATAGATCCAGGGTCTTCCCTTTATAGTCTTCTCTTGATAGCCATAGACACTGGAATTGCTTGGCAAATTTTTGCTCTCCTGAAGCAAAATAGTCATTGATACCCATGGCCAAGCCACAGAGTGGTCCATTGGTGTTATTCATTCTAGCACAGTCTCAGCGTAATGAAAGAGATGATGAAGTGGAAGAGGATTTATGCTGGTTTAAGGGTGACTTAAATACAGTATCTCTCTGCCATTTCTCTGGTATCATTTTGAAGCTGTTTAAACTCTTGCTCAAGTTATATCTTTTTGTATTTATGCAAGGTTTATATAAGGAAAACACCAGTCTGACTCCAAGTGGAAGCTTTAGAAAGGATGAAGTGAGACAAAACAGCCCCATCTGGCTTCCTTCAACTTTACAGGCTTATTGAATATTTACCAGAGGAGAGATTGGTGGCCAGGGGCCCGTTCAAAGATCCAACACAGTCCAGGCTCCTCTTTATCTGGCTAGTGGACACCAGTGGAGTCAAGAACCAGAATGGCAAAGTCCTTTTAACTGTTGGGCCCAGTTTGAAGCAAGCAGGACCTCTTGTCTCCCATCCAAGCCCCAGTTTATCTTAACAGATCCTCTTCTCTCACATTCAGGTCTCAGCATTGCTCAATGACACCTCTTCTCTTTCRTTCAGGGATCAAAAGGACCTCTTCTCTTCCATCAAGTTTGTGTTTCAGAGTAGAGTTGTAGTGTTTCAGAGTAGGGAAATGAAATCCTTGTTTCAGCGAGGGTTGTTGTTCAATAGGTCCATGGTCTTTGCATGATGTTGCCTAGTGTTTTGTTGTTGTCCTCTAGGCAGATGTGCTGGAATGTGGGATAACATGAGCTGCTGGCCTTCATCTGTGGTGGGACAGACTGTTGATGCTCAGTGCCCCAGATTCTTCCAGATGTTGACAGGGAAAAAAGGTAACACTAAAAATATGCTTTTCTTGCCCGTTGTGTTTATCAAATGTGGCATTTACAAAGATGCTTCTGCCAGAACTGAACCCCAAGGATGAAATTTTGTTCCTGCTTTAAAAACAAACAAACAACAAGAACAACAAAGAACTGAAACAATTTTTTATTTGAAGCTCATGGCCACTTCRCAGCTCCTTTCACAACGCTAAGCTGAATACAGGAGAACTTTGAATTAATTCGCTAGGTGTTTTAAGTTTTTTTGTCTTTGCCAATCTGAGAAAAGTGTGGGAAGTAAGTGTTATTCTAAAAAGCAAATTTTAAACACAGTTTCCTAGAGAAAAGAGTTTATTTCATTTTCTCTCAGGCTCTGTGTTTTTGTATTTTTGCCTGTTTTCCCCCTTCTAATGACTCCTACAGTCAGAGGTCAATTTCAGAGAAGGTTGACAAGGGGGAAAAGTCCACACAGCATTAAGTCTTACAAAAAAAAAAAAAAAAACAGGGAAAACATCCAGGTARGGGCAAAGATCCTTCTGTGGCTCCATCAAGAGAAAATCTGCCGCCAGGGTTCATCCTTTAGCCATCCTTTCCACCCAAAGAACAGATGCAAATCCGTGGGACATCAGGTTGCATTAGCCCCATGGCTCACTGAACTACTCACTCAGAAAGAGATGAGCCTGGGCAACATTTGTCATCCATTCYGTAGGACTTCTAAGCTAGAAATGAAGTGAAATTTATTTCTGAGGTACTACGGTAATCACAAGATATTAACTAGCAGTTTCTGCCTACTTCCTTTCAATTTCTATTTTTAACAATGCCTGAGAAATGTGCTTGCCTTTCCCTTTAGTGAGGTAGTGATTCAGGTCAGAAGAGGGTTCTTCATTCATTGAGTGCAGAACATAGATTGATGAGGCTGGCACTTACAGAAAAGCAGCCAGTGTCTATTGAGGGAGGGAGGAAGMGATTAGCTTGTCTAACAAAGAACAGATAAGGAAGAGGAGAAGTATTTAGGGAACATTTTTAAAAGCTATATTGTGGTATTGCATATCCACACAAACTCTAGCTGCCTGATGAATAATAAYCTGCTGTAAAGGTAGAGGGTAAAGTATACAAAGACACAGATGGCTGAGAAAACCATGTGCACTCGCAGTCTCGAGCATCCCAGCACTGGTTAAATGTGACCTGGGCTGCTGCAGCCGCTAGAGGGATCTGCTCGCTGCCTCTGGCCCCCACGAGCCGCTCGCGTACTTGGAAAGGGCCGTTCAGGGCGGAAAACAGAAATTTGTTCATCCAAAGGTTATAATTAGAAATCCAGCGTGCTCTGCATTATCTCGGAGATAGTCTAACAGCTTTAAACTTTAGCTGCCCTCCTTATCGAGGAGCTGAGTCGCTTCCAATAAGCCGTGACCAAAGTGACAACGTTCAAGCGAGCAAGCCAAGACATGGTCCGTCGGCATTTACATTGTATTCTGGTCTCTGCATCTGGCATTTTGGGTCAAAGTCAACAATAGTTTCTTCTCATTCTCACAGTCGCATTCTTTGCTGATTTTACACTATGGCTGGCTTGTGAGTCATGCGTTGAATTTCTGCTACAGTTGCTGCCCTGTTTTAAGTCATTTGACAGAAAGAAAAACAACAGTTTGTTTACTTGAAAGAAAAGCAAAAGTTTTCTTTCCTTGCTGTGTACAAAGGAGACAGGCAGCCACAAATGCCAAAGACCCATATGTTAAGGAACGCAGATAGGATCTGCATCCAAAGCCCAACCTCTGCTCTGCTGGTTCTTCTGATTTAGGCTGAAATCTATGAGACCATGTGGCGCGCAGGCTGTCTGGCCCCTTCCCACATAATACCCCAAAGAAACAAAACAAGCAGGAACCAAAATGTTACTGAAGTTCAGACCCACAGCTGTCGCAGGCATGAGGGAAACGTATGAAGGTTGTGGGGAGGAGGAAGCCACCTCACGAGGCCCCGGTCCCAATGCCCCTGTTCCCCATGCCTGGGCAGCTCTGCAGGCCTCTAGGGCATCCACAAACATGGGGCAGTCATGGCCAGATGGGCTGTAGGCCTCGAGGCCTCTCTAAACAGAGCACATGGCAGGTTTCCACAGAATGTGTGTTGGCTGCAGTGACTAACACTGTTTGAACTGTGTGGAACGATCTCCTGCGGTCTCCTGTGCTCTACCTGCACCAACATATAGCTTCACTTCTTCTCCCTCGTTTCCTCTGGTCCCCTTTGACACCCTTAGACACAAGTTACAGGCATATTTAAAAGCTCTGCACTCTTGTTTGTCTTCAGCTGAGGCTGAAGCAGAGCATTTGCCACCACATTGCTCCTTGCTGTGTGCCAGGCATGCTGCAGAAGGGGAAACGGTGGGTGAGCTTTGTCTCTTCCTTGTATTCTTGCTGTGCTACAGTAGGGTACAGAAAACACAGCTTGAAAAAACAAGCCTAGCCCTTCCAAGGATGCTAAGCTGGAACAAAATGTTCCTAAAAGCCTCAGAAAAATAGTCTGACACTGTCACACCCAGAGCTCGTCCTCCTTGGAGAACACAGCATGTTTGTTGTGCCTTGCCTTTCTTCAGAGGTGAGTCCAAATCAAGTGCAGACATGCGGTCAGGTCACCACAACTACCTCGGAGGTAGCAGGACTCCTGACCCAAACCTGATAGTCCCAGCAGGGCTCCAAAGAGCATAAACCAGTGCTCAGTGTGGCCCTGTGTATGCATGTCCCTCGAGTCCCTCAGCACTGTGGGGATTATTTGCAGAAATGGGATGCTCCAGAGTTCCTGCATTTGCAGCTCAATGTGCAGGCAAAGGGAGACTTCTCCTTGTGGTGCTTTCTGCCAAAGTTTTAGCTTAGGGCTCCTGCTTCCTGACCCCCTCCAAGTCCTTGCTGCTTTGCCATCACTGCAGCAGAGCCAGGATTTCACTCCCCSTTTTCAAAGGGTGACTCCTACCCTTCTCATGTGTGATTGGAACAGTAGACAGGGGGGAGTATCTCTTGGCAAAAGTTTCTCTTCACCTATAACCTTTCAGTCTGCTAGGGTCATTTTCTCCCAGTCAGATCGTAAATTGTCTCTCACAATCCACATCTAACATCAATGTGAGCATGTTCAAGACTGTCRTATTTACTCTTGAGCAATTTGGTGGAGATCCATCTTAGCTTTAGGGGTCTAAAAATCAGATATTTAAGAGTGAGCTGAGGCAGTCTGGTATCACACGGAGAGAAAGGAGTAGGACAAACTGCCCTCTGCAGATGTCTGTCTTGAAATGAGATGAATTCTGCAAATGTCTCTTTCTCTCCACTGACCAGGAAGTCAATGCTGAGGGAACCACTTTACCCAAGAATTTACCACAACTAAGTGAGGTGAATCCCATGCTAACCTGTAATTTGCAAATAGGCAAGGAAATCAGCAGTAGAAAATGCTGTCCAGACCTGGCTGTGGAGACTAGACTTTAGCTTTTCATTTAAATTGCACCAAAAAAATGTGTTTAAAGCCAAAACCAAAGAAGCACTAATAAATTACTTGGTGATGGCAGAGTGCAGCACTCTGGTGTCCTGCACTGGCCGGCTAAAGATTAGAGTTATCTTCAGACTATGACAAACCACAATGAAGATACCTGCGTGAGGAGGACATTCAAGAAAGTGTGAGGTTTGCCTAGAGCAGGAAAAAATCCGTGATTCACTGAGTCACGTGTTTGCTGATCCTGGGGTTCTGGCCAAGAAACACCAGATGTACTCTACAGTGTTTTTAATGTTGCAATTAATAAAAACACATCCATCACAGTCATCCCTGAGCTGGCAAACAACAGCATGACCCCCACAAGTACACTGGGCAAATATCAACATAATTAACTCGACTGTGTTTCACTTCCAGCTATGGGGTATGGATCGCCTGGGGGGAAACATTCCCTTTGCTCCCGCAACATGCCTCTGCAGAGGAGAAAAACAATGGCACTGGAAATGACTACACCTGGTTTTGTCCCTTTTTGTTGCCTCCATGCAGGTTTTGTCTATCGAAACTGTACTAGCGAGGGTTGGTCAGCCCCATATCCAAGACCTGATATTGCCTGTGGTTACAACGTAGATGACACCGTGAATGAGGCAAGAGTGAGTCTGAGCGCCTGTGAGGGTAGATCCCTGCTCCAGGGCCGGGAGGGAGGAGAGTTTTCAGGTTGTTGGAGTGACTGAATAATGCCATGGTGGGAGGAGGACAACCAGGCAGGGTGGTGGGTGTACTTCAGCTTCCTCCAATGCTCCTCCAAATCCTCTTCTAAATGCTTCCTCCAAATGGTCAGAGTGGGTTGCTCCAGGGCAAAAGCGAAGGAGCTGCTTTTACAAGATAATCCGTTTGTGAAATAGTAAGGAGCACCTTTCCCTTGGTATGGGGTGACTTTTGCTATATAGTCAAAGATGTGAATGTATGTTCCTCTGCAGCGTTCCTATTTCACGACTCTGAAGACCATGTACACTGTTGGATACTGCACCTCCCTCGTGACGCTGTTCATAGCCTTAGTGATCCTGGCCTCTTTCAGGTGAGCGAGGCTGCTTATTCGGTGAAATGATTTCCCCTTACAGTTAATATCAGGGAGGATTCTCCAGTCAGAAGAACCCCAACTGCTTTGCCAAATAGTTTTGAGGCTGGAAATCCTCCAGACCCAGATAGTCTGGGGGCTTAATACAGGAAACRTTACTGGAATAATGCAAATGAAACAAAGAAATTTGCCCAGCTCTGGGTAACTGGCAGCTGCTTGGCTTCATGATGCTTCACAATTGCAGAAGGAGGAGCTGGAGCAAGYGTGTCAGTGTAGTTATTTGCAGTGTCAAATTTTCTGGCCACATTATGGGTTTTTTTTTAAGTACTTGATTGGAGCAGATGTGACTTTAGCTTTTTAGGGTCCTCTCTAGGTCATCCCTCCTCGGAAATGAATTAATCTTCCTCTTATAAGCATGAAAACAGAACGGTCTTAATGTGTCATTTCAACATTAGCAAGCACTGAAACCTCATGTTTACAGCAACAAGCTGTCCGTGTTTTTCTAGGAATCCAACTTCATAGACTCTCTCTCTTGGCACAGGAGACTTCGCTGTACAAGGAACTACATCCACATGCATCTGTTTGTGTCGTTCATCCTGCGAGCCTCATCAAACTTCATCAAGGATGCTGTTTTGTTTTCCTCCGAAGACACCAGTTACTGYGGGGTGTACACGGTAATCCCCTCAGTGCCAGCTTCCTCCATATCCCACTTTTCTGGCAGGATTTGGGATGTGGTCAGTGTGCAGGGAAGGAAATCTGCATGCTAGGCCTCTGTGCAACCTAGCAGTTTATGAGAGAGAAAAGGTAGATCCTTTCTCTTCCCTGACACTTCACCCTACTTTGGACCAAACCTAGGGTAGTACTGCAGCTATCAGATCAACCCTGATTTCTTGTCACCAGCTTAGTCCTCTAATTGCCAAGATTTATTAATCAGTATCCTATCTGTTAGGAAAAAAGATGGAAACAGAAGCACATGTTAATTCTACTCTGTTTCCTCAGGCTGGATGTAAACTCACGATGGTCTTCTTTCAGTATTGCATCATGGCCAACTACAGCTGGCTCCTTGTAGAGGGGCTCTACCTCCACACTCTCCTGGTCATTTCTTTCTTCTCAGAAAGAAAGTTTCTCTGGTGGTTCATCGCTCTTGGATGGGGTACGATGGTCTCCTTTCAGTAAGAGTAATTGCTGGATTGTTGTGCTTTCGAGGTGGATTTGTGGAGCAGTAACTAGCCTTTCCATCTATAGGTACCCCAACTGTGTTTGTGGTGGCATGGGCCATGGCCAGGCAGTTCCATGAAAATATTGGGTAAGTTGGTCAGACAAAGGAGGGTTGTGCTCCATGCAGGATCATGCGGCCTCCCCACTTGTGGGTTTGGGCTGCTCTGTGGGTTTCCTGCTCTTTGTAATTGCTGATGACGAAGCAAACCAGATGCCATTTAGCTGTGGTGCAAGCCTGGGTCCCAGCGTGGGCAGATCCCCATGCTGGTGGGGAACATCGGTCCAGATGGCCAATCTGAAGAAGAATCTCAAATCCCTGTAGCATTTTCATGGGTGGGAGAGGACTTCTAAGTACAAATCCAGGCCATGATCATGTTTCAACATCTGTATTTGACTTTTATGACCAGTGAAACTTGGCTCCTTTCACCCTTCCCTTCCAAACTTTTGAGAACTGCTTGTACTTTAAAGGCAGAATACAATTTTGTCCAGTGTGGGTTGACAGTTTTCTTTCATGGTTTTATTGAAATGTAGTACCAGCTAGGAGGGAACAGGCAATAAATTTTATAAAAGAAGGAACAGAGTTCTGTCTGAAGTGCAAAACAGATTAAACCCWTTGAAAAGATGCCAGTGTTTTGATAACTGAATGCACCTTCTCTTCTATTTTTACAGGTGTTGGGACGTTAACACTGATGCCAATACCTGGTGGATCATTAGAGGCCCTATAGTTTTGTCTATTTTTGTAAGTCTTTCTGGGATAAGCACATTCAAACTGTATTTTCAAGCATGGCAGAGGCAGAGATCATATACTCAATGTGCTGTAGAAGTGTGTTAGTGAAATGATCTTCGCCCGAGCTGGTGTGACACACAAATTACTGCTTAAGCAACTTTTGCTCGGCAGGATTTACTAAGTAAGTAATGCCCTGGGGCTAAGTTCACAGGGAGAGCTAGAGTGTCCTCCCAAGAAGCCAGAGCCTGGAGAAGATCGGGTTTCCACATCCTGTTGATTTCGTAGGGTCGGAGCCGGCCTGTGGAAGCTTGTTTTGGACTAGTTCAAGGAAGGCTCCGGAGGAGAAACAAATGGCTGCAGGTTTTGGTATTTCAGTACAAAAGTCTTTGTGTCTCCCAGTCACTGCCCCTCTTGGCAAAGCCAAACCCAGCTTGCCTTAACATGCCCATTGCTTTTTGTTTGCAGAGCTGAGAGCAGCACAGGGGCTTCAAGGTGCATGTGTTAGTGGAGCTCAAGGTACTGCACTGCATGGCAGTAGTGATATAAGGAATAATTCGGTACAAACAATAYTCTAGACCGAGGGTTTGAGCTTTTTTGGGGCTGAAGGGGCTGAGGTCTGTCCCTGGTGACAGTTGTTTTACCCAGGTGTGATGCTCTGGGATAGACCTGTCCACAATGATTCATCTGTAGCCCTGGTACTTGCCAGCCTTACCTATACTCAAGTTATCCGCTGACACCGCTAGTGAGAACATGCAAGGGTTCATTTAAGTTTCCTTGTTGCCAGTAGGACCCCTTATATTTGCAAAACAAGCTACAACTGCTCCATGCTCTCTTGGTAACCCAAACAGCAGAGGTGTTGGGTTGAAGTTCTGCTCATACATACCTTCATCCCCTGAGGCAAGCTGAAGGCAACCACACAAATGATTCAGAATCAGTGTTAAGGCACCACAGCATTTATTTCTCTTAATGAAGCAACGCTTATTCTCCAGAAGCCAGACAGTGATATTGCAGTTCCAGCCAGACCTGGAAGTTCTGCCAGATGAAAACCACAATCTTAAATCACCTTTTGAGAGCCACCCACCATCCCTTTCTAAATTTCCACAAAATACAGATCACATCTAGCTTAACCGCCCAAGACAGGAGCGGGCTGCACGAGTCCAGCCCCTCCAGCCCATAGCCACCAAGACAAGCAAACAGTTAAACCTGCAGATTTGAGATCTTATCTCGCTATTCCTTGCAACACGTAATCCTTAGCAGTTCAAAGGGCAGAAAATGCACACTGATAAACCCTTTTGTGCTCTGGGACTAACCTTCCCCCACCGGCAACTCATCCCATTGGGAATCCCACCTCCCTTCTCCCAAAGGACCTTTGCCAGCCCCACACTACATGCACTGGTGGCTAAAATCCCCAGAATCCTCAAACCTGAACCTTCCCAAAACCTTAAATATCTCCTGTCCTATGTGTCCCCCTTGCTTTAGCAAGAAGGACACCCGCAGCCTGGCTCCACAGCAGAAACAGCTATTGCCTCATCTTTTCCCAGGCCAGAAACAGACCAGTATTTTTATCTAGTTTCCACCCCCAGAGAGGGGTGAAACAGAAAGGGAAGCACTATTTAAACCCTCATCCTTTGCCATTTTTAACTACTTCGCCCTCTCCCAGCAAGGCAGAGGGAACAGGCAATATTTGCAATCTCAGCTAGTGCCTGCGGACCAGAGCTGGGAGTGGTTTTCCCAGTGCATCTGATCTCTTTTCTCCAKTGATTTGCCCCCATAATAAACCCTGGCAACCAGTGACAGGGACTGTGACACCTGCCAGACACACATGTTGTTACTCTTCCTGTCAGTTCCTGCTGTTTTTTTCCCATTTTTTTTTTCCCTTTCAGATTAACTTCATTCTTTTTGTCAACATTTTAAGAATTTTGATGAGGAAGCTCAGCTCACCCGAAGGCAGGAGCGGGGATATCAACCAGTACAAGTATGTCCTCTGCACAGCACCTTTCCTCACACCRACTCCTCTWCCTAATTCCGCCTGCCCYGCTGTACAGCTGCTTTTCCCTGTGTTCCCATTCGCAGGAGACTCGCCAAGTCCACCCTCCTCCTCATCCCGCTCTTCGGCATTCACTACATCATCTTTGCTTTTTTTCCTGAAGATGCAAGTAGTGGYGCAATGGAAATTCAGCTGTTTTTTGAATTAGCTCTTGGATCATTCCAGGTAACATTTGCCTTTGCACTCTTTTCTTAAATAAATAAATAAAAAAAAAAAGGGATGTAGCATGCATATCCCACTCGAGAGCTGCCATGGCAGAACCCAAGCTGCTCCATCCCCCTTGCAATAGTTCCTCTTAATTTAAAAAACAGAACTGCAATTCTGAATCTATGATTTTTTGTTGTTTTTATCTTGCAGGGCTTTGTCGTGGCTGTACTTTACTGTTTTCTGAATGGAGAGGTGAGTTCTGTGGATAGCACCAGCTCCTTCACTGCTCGAGCATGCCCCAGSAATCCCTGGGATTTGTTCCCTGGGAGCAGGGAATCCCCAAAAGACCATTTCCTGCACACAGTCACACCGAAAATCTGACATACGGTGCTATTAGCTCTCACTCCACACCTATTTTCTCTGATCCTTAGAAGGGAGTTTATCAAAAGCTCTACAGGTTCCAGTTTGTTGGGGTTTATCATGTAAATCTCTGGGAGAGGRACCGTTTCCATGCTTGTTGTATGGCAGTTTGCTCTCCCAGACCAGAGCTTGTGTTCCCAAATGCTGCTGGTTCTATCGGTGGGGGAAACGCTTTCCAGCCCTGCAAGACCCTCAGATTTTTTGRAAGGTTACTTTGAAACAGAAGTGGGTTCGAAACACTCTAAAAGGTGCTAGAACTTATCAAAAGAGGGTTTCATAAAAGGTTGCCTTGAACAGAAAATCTGCATTTTTTTAAGGATGTCCCATATTTATAAAGGAAATAAAAATCCTGGAAAAATCTAACCCAGACACTCGCCAAGGCCAGCTGTGAGCAGCTTCGACACCAATTAACATTTCTAATAGAAAAGCAGGTCAGCTGAAAATTGTGCAGCAACAGAGTGACGGGCACGGGCGCGAGCCGGGGGGACGACCCGAACGCGGGCAGGGGGCCGGGCCCTCCTCTCGCCCTTCCGCGGCTCCGGCCTCAGCCGGGCATCTCCCAACCTCTCCCAACCTCTCCCGACCTCTCCCAACCTCTCCCGACCTCTCCGCCCAGGTGCAGCAGGAGGTGCAGCGCAAATGGAGGCAGTGGCACCTGAGCCAGCGCTTGCGGCAGCCGCTGAGCGCCTCGGGCAGCACCGGCGCCAGCGGCTGCACCCAGGAGCTGCCCGGCGCCAGGGGGATCCCGCCGGAGCCCCGCGCGCTGTAGCCGGGACCCGGGCCCGACAGCACCACGTGCCTGCGGATGAGCCCCTCGGGAAGCACCTTCTTCATCTGTGCAGCGCCGGAGCTSTTCTGCAAAGCGAAACGGGGCAAAACGTTCTCCTCCTCTCTGGGTTTCCGGCCGCGGTTGTGTTTCTTTGCACATCAGTGTTTTTAAGCTGCTATTCCTACCTTAGATGTGGCCTTTTGTCCTTCATGTGGCGCGCTCTCAGCTTGCTTCAGGCTAAGCCAAGTGTGTGATTTTGCAGATTTTTATATTTCTTCTCCCGTTGAAGCTGTGAGGATATTCAGCTTTGCAAGGTGAACGTTATGCTCCAAACTTTAATGCAACCCTTAGGCTTGAAATGYGAAATGAATTCCCCCCTAAATTTGACTGAGATGGAAAACCTGGCTGCGTGCAGTGCACATGCAGGCTGCTGGGCACGGCTGAGCCCCCTCCTCTCCCACATGTATCCGTGCTCCGGGAGCAAAGGCAAGCTCGGACTTTCCTTCCCTCGCCTGCTCTAACAGCAGGGACCTCAGAAATAACAGTGGTCTAATCTGGATTCACATCGGCTTTTTGAAACTGTAAAAAAGAGCTATTATAGCAAATTCCAAAGGTGGTCAGAAAACCTCCGTAAGATGACACTTTCCTRCTTTGTCTGTACCACTGAGTTTTGCCCAGCTGGTCTTTGGAGGGAAGCAGTGGAAGCCCTGGGGACGTTTAAAGCTGAATTGAGCTGGACACTTGAGAGCGTTTTGTGAAAAATGCCACCATTTGGGCAGGTAAAGAGCTCTCCTGAACCCCGAGCTGCCAGAGGATCCGCACTGCTGCGGGTGTTGCAGCTTTGGGTTTTTATGGATCAGCTTGTTAGGTGAATTCTCCTGGTTTGAGCTTTAAAAAGGTAAACAAACTCAGCCAGCAACAGAAATGAAATCTGGTATTTAATTTGGTATCTTTATTTCCCTGGTCCGAGCGATGCTTGTCTGGCTTTCCCGATGACAGGCAGCTAAAAAATGGGCATTTATCACACCTTTCCCTCCAGCTTAAAGCACTGGCAGAACCAAATTACTCAAAGCCAACAGATCCTCCCAGCCCCTGAGGGGTTTGCTTGGTCCCCGTGTATTTAGCAAGTCAGGTCTTTCCAAAAGGATACGATCATTAGCCTAATTTTCTCTCTGGCCTATGAAAGCTGAAAGAAAACCAACAGGAGCAGGGAAACAACACGTCTGCTCCCCATCTGAGAATTAAACATTTATCAGTGAGCCAAAGCAGCTGCTTGTTTCAAAGCCGAGCGCCTTCTTCCTGCATTAATGAAGAAATATAGACGAAGAGATCCAATAAGGTGTAATTAAGTAGGCCTGATRCAATTATTTGCTATCGCAGGAGCCCGGGGAAGAGCTGATTTYGGGAGCATGGGGCTGGCACATGCCATGCCCACTGGCACCAAGATCCAGGATGAACCGCAGGGGACTGTGTGCTCGGAAGTGAAAAAAAATGTGAATTTTCTTTATTTTCTTTATTTTTTTTCCTTACTCAGCTTTTAAGAGACATTAAATGAYCTGGGACAGGCCAGCAGTCTATCCCATTGGAGTGAGAAAGAAAAACAGCTGCTAATTCATTTCCTTGAGGTTGTGTAAACTAATGCAGTGGTGGAGCTGGAAATCTATGTGCCCGGCCCTGAAGTAAAGCTGTCGGTACAGCGAGGGTRAAAGCGAGCGTTTCTTCACCCATCCCGTGGGTAAATGTGCAGAACTGGTGCCTGGAGGGATTACACAAGCCCCACTTCCCCTTAAACCTGCAGCCCAGTGCAGAAGTGTGGAAGGAGAGAACTGCAGTTCTCATATTTTCAGAGAAAATTTATTTAGCGAACTCCAGGAATCTTGCTTGACACTTGAGCAGCCTTCAGGAAGGGAATGGTTGCCAGCTGCCGCTAGGTAAGTTGTTGCACGTAAGGACATCTCCAAGACAGCCAGCCCCGGTTTGCAGTATTCAACCACCAAAATGCCTCTTCACTCAGATTTAGCAAGTCAGTCAAGCAGCATAACACAAAGCCAGTTAAAAAACATTAAAAAAAAAAAAAGAGATTTTGACTTGAGGGTTCATCGGTTCATCCCCTGCCCCAACAAAAGGCCACTTCTTCGGCTAGGGGAGCAGCCTCAAGTCACTAACAAGCGTGTCGAGCCTTGCRTGGACTCCAAGGCCAAGGGCCAAGCCCAGCGCGCAGGCAGGGACCTGGCCGGGTTTCTGGACCAGGACTCTGGACCTTGCCCAGCGCCAGGGTTTCAGGCTGAAGGCACTGTGCTCCATGGAGACTACAGGGAGCGTGCACAGGGTTCTGGATCACACCAAGAAGGTGCTTGGCGAGGTCCATTCCAGGTTTCTGGACAAGCCAAGGGCACCCAGGCCCTTGCCTCATGTTAGATGCCATCAGGGTATCCCTAGGCACCAGAACAGGCTCACCGGTCATTTAAGGCACTTTACCAACCACTGACATCCAAGTGCAATGATTTGGRGCTGGACCTTGCAGACTGTCCATGGGGTAAGTCGCTCTGCTAAAACCAGCAGCTCTACCCTTAGCAGTGTCTGCAAGGCCAGCCCCCCGTCACGCTTTGAACAGTGCAACCCAGATCAAAAGCACCTTTAAAAAGGGATTGGATCACAGAGCAGGTTAAGGGCACCATCCCAGTACGTGTCATCCTTGAGAGAAGTTCAGAAAGTTCCAACAGAGCCTCAAATATCCCAAGGGAGCTGGAGACATCAACGCATGTGCAACAGCCTGAGCGGCTCTGACCTTAGTAAGCCTCATGTCTAGACCTGGCCTGAAACTGGATCTCAGAAGACGCTTAAGAGTGCTGGAACAGAAAAGCTATGGAAAGGAGACTGTCCTCAAGCCGGGAGCGAGCCCAGGGGCTCTGCAGGACCGGTGATTCCTCAGCCTTGCTGCTGCGGCGCTTTCGTGCCCAGTAAAAACAGCAGCATCAAAATGCTGCACATTAAACAAACACCTTGCTACCAGCTACGAGAACCACAGAGATGAGACCTGTACGAATATTTTTCTTAAAACTAAAACCACAAGAAGTTTCACCAGCAGGTAGAGGACAGGCACKAGATGAGAGGAGCTTGGGCGCCCTGAGGACGCTCCCACGGGCTGCTGTGCTGGCAGGGAGGCGGCTCCGCAGCAGCCAGGCTCTGCGTCGCCTCCTGCTTTACAGCAGGCACAAACAGGGATTCAAAAACTGCAGCGACTGCCGAGATGCTCAGCTCTGGAGCTGTTCCCATGGGCTGCCGCTCGGGAAGCGCAGGGCTCCCCCTCACCCTCCTGTTGGTCTTTGCAGCGGCGAAACCCTCTTAACCCATCGCTCTGGAAAGCTGCCTTTCCRCAGCAGCTGGTCTGAGGTCCCATCGTGCCGAGCAGTCCTCTACGGCGGGTCCATCCGCAAGCCAAGACGCAGTGTCTGTCCCAAACTACGTGYGGCTCCCTGCTCTCCCAGTCTGGCCAGCACAGCCCTCGGCACCTAGATTTTCCCCAGCCGGCTCCACGGGGACGTGAGGCTGTTGATGTGGAGGCCGCTGATCCCGTTGAGGAAGAAGAGGAAGGCGGCGATGAACTCGCACCAGTAGGTCAGCGAGAAGCCTGTGAAGGTGATGTGGTCCCTCAGGAGGACGGAGAAGCTCAGGACTCCGGCGGACGACAGCAGGAAGGAGATGAGGATGAGAATGGAGCCCAGCGACCACTTGCGCCTCGAGTTGGCGTCTTCGCACACCTGCGAGACCATCAGGAGCTCCAGGCCGAAAATGGCCACCACAACGGCAAAGGCCACGAGGCTCCTGATGAGGATCATGCCCACGTTGATGCCTTCCACGCCGGCCAGGCGCAGGTCGGTGACGCACCTCAGGGCGCTGCCGTTGCCGACGCTGCAGAAGTGCCAGAGGCCGAAGAGCTCTCGCCGCGCGAAGAGCCAGCGGCCGTCGCACACGGAGATGGAGGAGAGCACCACGGCCACGGCCACGCACAGGATGATGAGGCTGCGCACGAGCGCCTCGAAGAAGGGCCTCTGTGGCGGCCGCCGCGCCAGCAGCCGCTGCGCCGGGGAGCAGAGAGTGAGCGGGAGGCTCCGCGCTGCCCTTAGCCGGCCGCAGCGAGATCACGGGGACGGGCGAGCGGGACGCGGCCGGTGCATTGGGACCATCTGCCCGTGGATGGGGGRTAAAGCCCAGCGCAGACCCCCAGGCCCCCCCACAACCTTTCTGCCATGGACCCCTGGGGACCCCTGGGGATCCCGGAGCACTGCTCAGCCCTCAAAACCACCCCCTCGGCCACGCACCCTCTYCAGGGCCCCGCATAGACCCTCCCAGGGCTGTGCACCCCCCTGGGGCTGCAAACACCC